ACTACTGTCTGCAACCACCAGTCAGAGAAGAACAGACACAGAGGAGGGAAACAGAGACACAGACAGAGCTACAAAAAAAACTCAATAAGCAGGGTTTGTACATTTTATTATCAGCTGAGCTGTGATGAAAAGAAAAATACCGTCAAATACCGTGAAACCGGTGAAAATGCTGAAAATACCGTGATATAAAATTTTGATCATATCGCCCAGCTCTAACTCCCACACATTAACATGCAGAGTTTCACCATCATCTTTCTTTCTCACACACATCAGTTGTGTTGGCAGAAGTTCCTGTTGGCAGTTTGCTCTCACCTTGGTACAGACAATCCTGACAGCCACCTTCCACAGGGCCGAAGCATCAGAGCCAGGCTGCACTTCAAACAGCAGGTGTTTCTGCTGTCCAGCAGCTAACTTGGCCGTTCTGAGAGGACAGACATGAGGGTTCAACTCCACAGTTCAGTCTGCATCATTTTTACTGCAGTTTTAATCATAACACACAAGTCAACAGAATATTAAAGCATCAACATGCTGAAATAGATTTAACTGAAATACTTATACTACAACAGTATTTACACTGTCATGACACACCCACTCATTTTCCCGCACCATTGCATAATTTGAGAGATAATTGGTTAAAATTACATTGGCAGAAGTAAGACCTACTGCCAGTGGAATGCTACTGAACAGAGGAAAAGCTCACCCATAAGAGTTCATGCTTAATAATATTTAATAGATTCGATTCAATCTGTGTCTTAAACAACTCTGCATGGTTAACAGGCTGTGACTCACACATCGTTCAGTTCAGCTACTCTGGCCAGAAACTCCTCATAGGTGACGTAGCCACTTTCACGCACCAGCCCAACGTGTTTCACCAGCTTCTCAGGCAGATGGCTCATGACCGCCTGACCTGAGATCTGCTGGCCCATCCTGGAAGAAGCAGCACTTACAGAGAGCAGCACCTCATTCACGTCTGTGGATCCTGGTGGGAAAACAACCTCTACTAGTTAGTCAGGACTGTCTGGATAGCATAGCCAGTGTTAGGTTTACTGATCTGTTGTGAAATGTAGATTTTCCATTGTAAAAGAATCAAACAATTAACATGAGTCCTGTGATGAACTTTTATAAAAGAAACATGGGTTCAAACAAGACAACGAGAAATGTGAACTGATCATACATTTACAAGTGTTTGTCAGGAAGCTTTGCTCACAAGGGGTAGCTCCCATGTGGTGGGAAACAATTTAAACCCAGAGCTACATATTGATAGTCATTCTTAGGACAAAATCATTTTTAAGTAAAACCATTTAAAAAGTACGCTGCCTTGCAGCTGTAAGCCTTGGTGAACCTTCATCACAGTGTAGCTAATCCAGCTTTACTGAACTAGCTTAGTGTTTAATCACACAAGCATGGGATTATTTGAGTTTAAAATTGAGGTAAATGGGGTCATTTTCAATACAATTCTGTTTAATTTTTATTGTACCGATTCACAACAAAGGTCACTGTATATCCTGAAAGTACTCAGACGGGACAACTTGGAGATTAAGCTGTTGGTAACCTTCTATTGCTCCGCCAGAGAGAGCTAACCATGGCTGCAAACACCACCATTGTGTGGTGCTGCTGGCTCCACCACTGCTGACAACAAGAGGCTAACGGGTGATCAGGACTGCTGAGAAAATAAGTGGTTGTTCTTTCCCCTCCCTGGTCAATATCTTCAGGACTGCTGTTTCTCCAGGGCAAAGAGGATCTTCAAAGACCACCTCCACCCTGATCACCACCTGCTCAGTTTGCTGCCGTCCAGCAGAAGGTATAGGAGCATTAAGAGCTGCGCTAACAGACTCAAAAACAGCTTCATCCCATGGGCCTTCTAAACTCTGAACACCAGCCATAGATAATAAGTGCAATACCTACTTTATTATTGTTTTTGTCTCTGTATACTGTATTGCTGTTGTCCTATATGTCTTTCTATGCTCAGTTTTATTGTACAGGCTTGTGCAATGACAATAATCCTACCCTACTCACACCCAAACAGCTGGAACTACATAGAAAGGTTTTAGTACTTTGATCTATCTTCAATAGTATAACTGTTGTAAACTTAACAACATGACAACCCTGCATGCTGCAACTAAACTTTAAACTTGAAAAAGGTGTACCATAGTTCTACCCAGGAGAAGTAAAAACATGATTTATGCAGTCAGCTGGGTGTGATCATTTCACAAGATGTACTGTATATGTATTGTTTGTTTGTTTATTTATATTTTGAATAGGTCAATACAGTACAAAAATAACACATGCACACACATATAAACAAAGACAAAAGTAGTAAATACACTAATAATGGAGAAAAACTATTGATGTATTACCACCTGTTAAAGTAGTTAAATCTTATTTTGTTCAATAATATTTGTTGGGGTTTTCTTTCATACAAACATGGTACATATCGGTATTCTACAACTGATAGCTCTATGTGGTAATTGCAGTAAGTATGTAGTAGAAGTATATATACTATTTGTCTATTGAATTTGTAGTTTCCTCAGTTTCGACTAGAAGCCTGAATTTTGCCCCTCTGGACAAATAAATCATGTAACATTCACAGAAATGTATGCAGTCAATACGGTTCACTTGACACTTTACAAAGTGATTAGTTTTTAATTACATAAAGCACAAGTTGGTTGGGCCGCATATTTATTACTCGATGTAAACAACATTAATAAAATGAAAAAGAAAACTACCTTCTTGTGATTGAACTGCAACTCACAAGCTTAGTTAAATTAGCAAGGCTAATACTTCGGTGTGGATTTTTCCGACATTGTAAAAAATAAATAGCTGAGGTACTGGTGTTTGAAGAGAAAAACTCGAGCACAAAGGTTCCTGTTAAAATCCAGTGCTCTGCAGCGCTGCGCTAAGAAGCTTTCCTCGAAACTTCTGTCACTATAAAACATGTTATTATGGTTGAAAACGACAAACATATTGTTTTAAAAGGGGCATTTTTGGTTTCTTAAAAGGGTTGAAATAACAAGAACTCACCAGATTTATAACTCTAGATGTATGAGGATCTAAACTCCGCCGTTAGCTTTTCTGTTAGCTTTCTTGTTATTAGCCATTTGACAAACAGCGGCGCCAGATTACGACGTCACTGTTTGTCTACTTTATTAAACGTCACTCAGTTATTAAAGCTTCTATTTTGACAGTAAATGCGAACATTTTTACCTACTTCATAGAAAAAAAACATTTTATTCCTTTCTTGAGTGTGTTTTCAGCGTCATTAAAAATACAAAACAATGTTATTTAAAAATAAAAGTTGGAGGGCTGTGCTGTATGTGGAATAAACAGTGTTTTGTATACTATAAGCTCAATGTGCTGGTTGTGAGATCGTTGGCTGTATTTTTAATATTAGAGGGGATGGGTAAAGGTCCATCCCTCTTTATTATTTTGGAATAAATATTTGATGTAATCACATGTGACTGCTGGAGATTTATGGATAGAAAGTGGTTAAAAATAGAGAACGAATAGAACTAAATAAACAAAAAAGTGGAGCTGACTAATATATGAAAAATAATGACACTATAAGAGCAAAATCTATGCTATTGTAGACAGAAACACGGAACAAAAACCCAACAATATTCTAACTGAAGTGTGAAAGAAATTAAATGACAACTATTACGGAAGCGTGTTGCTATCAGGCAGGAAAAAAAAAATTCCGAGCGCTATCACGTTATAACGTGATACGTATCTTGTTAAAACGTGATACGTATCACGTTTTAACAAGATAATTATCACGTTTTAACGAGATACGTATCATGTTTTAACAAGATAATTATCACGTTTTAACGAGATAAGTATCACGTTTTAACGTGATACGTATCTTGTTAAAACGAGATACGTATCACGTTTTAACAAGATACGTATCACGTTGTAACGTGATAGCGCTCGGATTTTTTTTTTTCCTGCCTGATAGCAACACGCTTCCGTACAACTATTGCTCAGAAAAATGTAAATGTTAAATAAAAATAGAAATCCAGTCAAATGGGCACATGTCTCACGCAAAACTCTTTACTTACTTTCTTATTTCAGTTTGACTTTATCACTGGCCAAACCATCTGTTATTTACAGGCAACCACGTATAGAGGACCTTCCACCACGAGAGTGAAAGTGGGAATCAAGAGAGCGCAGCACAGATGAAACCAGCAACACTCCCAGGTCGTATGAGCAGAAGTCAGTTTTTATCCAAACTGGCTTTAAAGGGATTGAAGGGTTGTTTTTGTTGTCTCTGTGTTCATGTAGACATAACATGGTGTCAAACTGGTCTGAACCAATGTACCTGAGCAGGACTATCACTGTAACAAGATCATCAGCATTACTTTCTCCACCTGTCACTGCTTGTCTGCTTCTAGCTGAGCAGTGTATGACAAATAAACTATTACTGAAAAATTAAATGTAAAATATTGTAAAATAATTACTGATTTGTTTAACTTTGTTTCTACAGTATCATTTGAACACAGTAAAGCCTTTTATGTCAAATCTGTTATTCAGTCTGGGCTACAAACATTTCTATTCTATTCTATTCTATTCTATTCTATTCTATTCTATTAAATGTATGATGGTGTATTTTTTAATCCTTTTTAAGTTTTTGCCAAATAACCAGCAGAGGACAGTAAAGTAAAGGCAATTCAATCTTGAGCTGATATCTAAGAGCTGATTGAGCTGAAGTGTTACTGGATTTCCAGAGATGAAGTATGCTTAAATATTCATATTTAGTTTTTATGGTAATTTCAAAAAAACTGAAAGAGTCTTTTAAAATTAGTTAAAAAAATACACTTCATATTTTGACTCCTACATCAGAAAACAATAAAGGCCTATTAACAGTCTCTTTCACAACAAAGTCTATGTCATGGTGGCCTCCACAGCCACACCTTAACATGCATGAGGATGCATATATGCGGTTCCCACCCTTAAACTCCACTAAAGTGATACAGGATTTATATTGCATTGAGGATGACTCTCAGCGACCACCACGTAATGTTTACCACATTACCTGTAATTGTTAGCATGTTATGCCATTTTTGTGTTGTAGATTAGCTGTGGCATCCATCTTGATTTAGGTTTCTAATGATTAATCAGTTGTAGATGCTAATAAACAGAGCGCTGACTCCAATAGTTAAAAGCAAAGTTTTTAAAAACAGGCCTTGCTCAATCAGTTAGTAATTTGATGTGTTGAGGATCAGTCTCAGCTACTCCCACACATTTCAGCTCAGTCTTTGTAAAATCGTATAAGTTTGAGCTGATTTTGTGTTTACTTATGGAGCGTTTAGTTGTAGTTAGCTTTCCTGAATGGACTGACTCTAAAAGTTAGTATATCAGCTGATGTACATCCAGTGGTGACCTATAAGAGTTTTATACAAATTTGTTCAGTTGATCATTAGAAAACTATACGAAGAAACAAACACACTCACATGGTCAGAAAAGATTCATGCTTTTTAATCTGCACTATATTGCCAAAAGTATTCGCTCACCTGCCTTGACTCACATATGAGCTTAATTGACATCTCATTACTAATCCATAGGGTTCAATTTGACATTGGTCCACCGTTTACAGCTAGAACAGCTTCAACTCTTCTGGAAGGCTGTTCACAACGTTTAGGATTGTGTTTATTTTGACCATTCATCCAGAAGCTCATTTGTGAGGTCACATACTGATGTTGGACAGAAGGCCTGGCTCTCAGTCTCTGCTCTAATTCATCCCAAATGTGTTCTATCAGGTTGAGGTCAGGACTCTGTGCAGGCCAGTCAAGTTCATCCACACCAGACTCTGACAGCCATGTCTTTAGGGACCATGATTTGTACACTGGTACAGTCATTTGGATGGGTGAGCAAATACTTTTGGCAATACAGTGTGCATTTTGATAATTATATCACGAGTGGTTCCAGACAGACGTGGCTTAATTTGTCTTCTCAGTCAGGATAACCCAATGACATTTTGTCTGAATCCTGTTCTAATAAGGAATTTTGATGCCATTTTAAAGAGGAAACCTCAGATAGTAAATGGGAATTGAGGTTTCCCAGCTGGAGAGGAAAACAGCTTTGCTATAGCTTGAGGGGGGGAAACAATTAAGGCTTTTTTAATTTTTAATTTTTTGCTCAAAATCATGTTTTTTGTTGCTACTGCTCAAAAAATGGCTTCCAAAAAATCCTTTAAGATTCTAATTCATATATTTATTTCAAATGATGTATCGATATGGTATTTAATTATTGTTCTGAAAAGATGCAAAAATTACAAATGTTTTAATCAATGCTGCCTGTGTATTTTACTGTAAAAACTTTTTTTAATTGGACTTGAGGCTTCAACAATAAAGGAAATTATTTGTGTTACCCTCCTGTGCTGAAGACTTGGACGGCTGTTATTTTAATATTAGCAGCCTTTCAGTAGTGCTCTGACAACTCATCAGCAGCACATAGACCCACACATCCACAGACACTTTAATGAGCCATTAAATCTTTATTTGAAGTTTTCTTTTTTTTTCCCTCCAAATTTTGATAGACTCTAATGTCAAATGTAGAAAACAGCTTTTCAGAGCAGCACTCAATCTGATCTCAATTACTCTAAGAGCTAACTGAGAGGCAAGTAATTGAATGCTGGTAAATTAATTTGTGAAAACACCTCATTTACAATTTTCTATTTAAGTCCCTATTGTTTATTTATAAATTCTGAAGCAAAAAAACAAACAAAAAATAAAATTAAATGAAATCTGAGTTAAGAAAATGACACTCAACATATAATTAAACATTTTAAAGCATGAGGTGTGTTGAGTGCCTTTTATGTGATCCAAAAAAGACAGCAGCATCAAATTTTGAATTTTTTTTATAAACCAATTCTCATAAAATGAACATGAGTATAAAGACTCTGTGTACACACTGTTGTATTTTTTTAAATACATCACAATAAAAACATAACATCTCTCTGATCAACCCAAGAAAATATGGACTGATTTGAGTTCACTAAACCAACAAAATTCAAAATGAACTTTTTGAATCAAATCAAGTCGTACAGAATGTAACTCAAGAGCTTGATGTCTTTAATTTTCTTTTTAATTAGCTAACAGGTTGTGTGGTCCATAGGCTGATCGCTCTAATGATGAGCCATTCCTGCTGACTGGCTGTGACAACTATTCTCACACACTCAATGTCAAAGCCGATCTTGTGGTCCACATCAGTAACCTCAATGTTCCCACCCTTAAACTCCCCTAAAGTGATGTAGGATGTACATTGTCTTCCCTGTTTGGTCTCCACGGACCTTTGACCTACTTCCAGAGCTCCATGGTGAAGAATGTCACTTTGTCGATCCTCTGTCCCCGTCATAATTTTAATCCTGCTGATCTTGGCTGATCGGTTAAAGATTATGATATAGAAATCCCCAGTGCACGGAGGTTTACCCCAGAAATACTCATCAACGATACTACTGTAAGCCTTAGAGGCGTCGTAGTTTTCAAAGACGTTGATGTTTGTATAAATGCTGGCAGGGGGGTTGTCGGGAATGTCAATAGAGTCTTCCTCAAAATCGTCATCCTTTAGTTTGTTCTCGACTCCTTTATAGGAGGAGTAGTAGCCCATGTGCTGGAACAGCGAGGGTTTGAAGCGGATCACATCCTTCTGAGCCAGCAGTCCTCTGAAGTGGATGAGGAGCCAGTCACAAGGCATTTCCTGATAGAACATGAGGAGGAAATGAGCCAGCCGTGGCAGGTCTCTGGAGTGGTACAGCTTCCCGATGTAGCCCAGTTTGGAGAACTCCAGCATCACCCAGTAGGAACCTTCTCTGGAGGTGATCACCTTCTTCAGAGCCGTCAGGAAGTTCCTGGAGCAGCGCACGTCGTCCTCCAGCATCATGTAGAAGTGGGACAGGTTCGTGCAGAAGTTCAGAAGGAAAGCGTAGTCCACRTTCTGCTTGGAGCGGAACCGGACCCGGTCTTCTGGGTCATTGTAGTTCCTTTTCAACCCGTCCAGAGAAGGATAGTACTCCTCTGGGGCCTGGATGACCAGGAGGCGTCCGGCTATGATGTGGTGAGCAAACTTCCTGGTGATTTCCTGCACCAGGTTCTCACACCAGACCAGGTCAAAGT